CAAAACTGTCTGAAATATCTGTGCTTTGGAAACGAAATTCAATAAAAGCTTTTTGAAGTGTGTTAGCCTGATGTGGCTTTGTTGTCTTCCTCACTCCACAGCCCTAATCACCCGGCAGTAACGTCAGTCTCTGCTCTGTCTGTGGCCCTGGTAATTCTGACCACATCCAGAGAGGTGCCTCCATGGAACCATGAGCTATACACACCCTGTGTGTGAATTCTGGGCCTCTTCTTCATGTTGTTGTTGGGTTTTTTTAGTGGCGAACTATACATAACAGAGTACTTATCATTTAACCATTTGTAAGAACACAATTCAGTGACATTACACACATTTACACCACTACCCATACCCAAATTTTTTTCATCATCTAAACATAGGTACTATGTGCATTAAATAATAACCTTCCATTCCCCCAGGAAATCTCTGTTCTACTTTCTGTCTTATGTATTTGCCTAGTCTAGGTAGCTCCTCTAAGTGAGACTGTATGATACTTTCTGTGTCTGGCTTGTTCCATGTAGAATAAGTTTTCAAGATTCATCTGTGTTATGCATATATCAACCTTTCATCCCTTTGTGGTGGAATAGTATACCATCGTATGTTTATACCATATCTTGTTATCCATTCAGGCACTGGTGGACATTGGCTTGTTTTTTTCACTTTTAACTACTGTGACTGTAGGTATACAAATATCTGTTCCATTCAAAGTGTTCTGAGCCAGAGGCAAAGTCAGCCAACACCGGAGTTCTTATTTCCCCACCCCACCCCAATGACCTGTTGTCAGGAGACCACGGCATTGGGGCAGCTGTGGGGATGGAAATCAAAGCTAGGAGGGTGGAGGTCGTTAAGCACCTTCATTTCCTGTGGTAGAAAGTGGACAAGGTGTATTGTCATAGTCACGACATCCTGTGATATATGCCTGGACTTTGGTCTCTACTGCTGGTTCCCACAAGTTTATTCTGCTGTCCAGGCTTTCTGGAGAAACTTCTGCCTCTGCAGCTGCCATTGAAAGAGCCTCCCTGAACAAGCCCAAGTTTGCAGTCTTCAGGGTGCGGGAGAGGGACTCCTCGTTGCCCACCATGATCCCCTGGGCCTTAATCTCTGTTCATGCTCAGCGTGTCAGAAGTCTCTCTGGGCATTTCCATGAACCGCCTCAAAGCCTTTTCTCCATGGAGGCTCCAAACCAGTCCAAGGAACCTACTGGAGGTCAGAGCCCATCCCCCCTCCCTCCTTCTGGACTTTCTCTCACCATGTTCTCCATCTTGTTCCATGCCATTCCGTGTTATGAAATGAAGCTCCCATGCAGAAAAGTGTAGAACAGAAGCCAGTATAAAATTTATGTGGTGGGAAGTGTGTGTGTGTGTGTGTGTGTGTGTGTGTGTGTGTGTTTACACTCTTGTTTCCAAAGCTGGTTGAACTCTGAAATTGTCCTGGGAGCTTTTTAAAAGCACATTTCCCTACAGGCCTTACCTCTAGAGATTCTGATTTATTGCAGAAATGACGAACATAGTGGAGGAGGAATTTTCCGGGTGAAGTATGGGGTGGAGTGGGGTGGGGAGGCAAGTCATGTCAGGCAGAGAGTGCTTGAGTACAAAGAGCACTAGAGGAAGAATGGTGTGCTGGGGACAGCCAGCCTGTGTGGCTGGAGCAGAAGGTGGGGAGCACCAGGCTGTGAAACTGAGCATAGAGAGACCTGGAATGCAATGCCTACCATGCCTGTCCCCAAAGGCTTGTTTTTGTAGTCAAAGCAATCAACCTGACAAGTGTAAAGTGCTGGAACAAAGTAGCAGTTGCCAGCTGAAGCTTCTAGGACCTTCATAGAGGCAGGTGGAAGTTTGTCCAGACAAATCCAGCTTACTTCCTTGTGGGTCACACCTACCCATGAATTCTTTGTTTGGTCTACACTGGCAAGTAGCTGTGCACAGGAAAGAATGCTGTTATGCTTTGCGAAGTGGAATTCCTTGGGCCAAGTGAATTGCCCTGACTTCTTTTTTTTTTTCTCCTAGGCAGAATTGCAAATCAGGAATATTTTCAGTTCAACCACATTTTGTCTTCCTCACAATTTTAGACTTCACAGTGTCCCATGATGGAGAAGTCATTGTGACATACTAGGGCAAGTGCCAAAGCAACCTTTCTTACTTAAGAGACTGGCCTGGGCAGGACCTGGGGCAATTCAGTTCAACAGATACGTTGTACTTATTTTGTGTAAGACATTAGACATATAACACAATCTTTTTTCCAAGTTGGGGGATGTAGCTCAGTGGTGGATACATGCTTATTTAGCATGCATGAGGCTCTGCGTTCAATCCCCAGCATCAAAAATATTTTCTTAAAAAAGTGTTCTAAGTCTCAAATTCCCCACTTACAAAATGATAATATTGTTTTACTATATTACCTGGCCAGCGGTGGTAAAAGAGTGGTTGATAGCTGGGATTTGAAGTGAGGCATGGGTTCCAATTCTAGCTCCACCACTTAGAGCACCACCACTTATGAGAAATGTGATTGCAAGCTTTTTGTAATTTCCTTACTAGCAAAATGCGAATAATAGCAATGTTTATCCACTAAGAAGCTTTATAAACATTAAGGGATGTCAATGTGTGACCCATATTAAGTGCCCAAAAATGGGGAAAAAAACCCCCAAAAGAACCTATAGTATACACCCATGGAGGTAAAGACCCACTGCATTGTGGGTCAGCTAGGATGTGTTTGTCTGTAAGCAGTGGAGAACCAACTCAAACCAAATTGAACCAATAAATGAGTCCCGAGTTTAGGGAGCCTTCATAGTTGATTCAACCAATGGGGCTGGGTTTCCTGTTGGTCCTATTTGGCTCTTCCCTACCCAGTCTAGTAGTGGAATATCTGTGGGCATGCCCCCTACATGGCCATAGTTAGAAGAAAAGAGAAAGGATTATTTCCAGAATGATTCCTGGAAAGGGAGGAGAAACAGCTTCCAATTCACAGAAAGCTTTTCCTTAGATCTCAAGAGTCCATATGGGGTCATATGACAAAATCATGGTCCAGGAAGGTTGGAATTGTATGTAGGTCAGTTACATTCATCACCACTGCTGGGAGTGAAGTCCTCCCTTCCCGAGGTGAGAGCTATAAGGGGGACCTACCTGAATGAAGTCAATCATAGTCCTAGGAAGGAAAAAGGAAGTGAAGGGACCTGGGCTAGACTGCTATATTATTGCAGACTTTTTGGGCCATATGCGGAAAATAAAAATTATTAACAGCAATGGTGCCTTATAGTCTCACAACATGGAGTATTTTTCAGAGGGGTTAATGTCCAATTTTTTTCCAGAGTCTTTGAGGAAAGATTCTCAGTTTATATTATGGGTGCTAAGGCTCTAGGTTTCTAAATCCTGTTTTATCAGTACTTGCAATTTCCTCATTCACTAAACTCTTCTGGATATAGAGTAGATTAAAAAGGGATGCATCCCGTTAGTGATGCATCTTTAGGCAAATCCTAGCTTGCTCTAATCCCAAACCTGATATTACCAGATCGGTAGACCTGATGTTATCAGCATTGTTGTAAGAGACAGTTACAAATAACCTCAAAGAATCCAGAGATTTCCCATGGCCTGGCCAACACAGCCAAATGGGACTGGAAAGAGATGTGCAGAATGCCTTGCACAGTGCATGGCACTGAGTAAGTTATGGATTGCTTAGCCCTCTCCTTAGTTCCCACAAAGTAAAAACACTTCAGGTATCTGGATAGCTTGTCATAGACAGCTCTGCACCTTCCAACAACATTCTCAAAGGGCCTGAGACTCAAACATGTAGACTATACTCTACAGGTGAAGAAAGTGAGGGGCTAGGACTCATTCAAGGTCACATTACAAGTTGGATGGTACAAAGGGAGAAGCAATTAAGAGCATGATTTTTCAAACAGGTCTCTCTAGGATTCTCTGGGGTACTTTTTACAAATAAACGATTTTTACAAATAGATAATTCAAATTCCAATTTTAAAGTGGTAATAAAAAACATACTTAAAAGCAAAACAGAGAAATTAAAAGACTGTAACTCTTTTATAACTGATTGTTTTGTTTTTCAAAACAGCCTCATTGTTCTTGATTTATTTATGGTGTTAGAAATGTGAACTTAAGAATTTATCCTGGTAAAAGATGCTGTTCGTATTTTTCCAGTGTGTAATTCTTTTGAAAAAGGAGGCTTGGAGCTAAAAGAAAGTTTGTAAGCCTATAATGAGTAAAAGGGCTCCGAGTTCACTGTTCACTAAGTTTCTGACCTTGGGAAGACCTGGGGTTGTGGGGATCACGAGACACAGACAGTCTAAATGGCCACACAAGCTCGAAGGTCACGAAACCCTGGCTTCTTTCCATTCAGACGAATGTATTCCAATAGGCTGTGGTTACACACCTAAGCAATCCCGCTCTTTTGTACTGAACTTTGGCTAGATCAGATGATCTGAAACTAATAAGATCTGCTTAAGCAAGAATGCAAAGTTCAATGAACTGTGACCAGTTTTGCAAATTTATACTCTACATATAAAATGACATGATAGTGGTGGTGTGTGTTCAGTGTAGTGGAGATAAACACTCACATGAAGATACATTGAGATACCTTAGGAGTCTTCAGCATTGCACAGGTCTGAGTTTGAATGCCAGCTCTGCTCCTAAGCAACCATGTGACTTTGGTTCTTTACCTTTGAGCCTCAGTGTCCTCATCCATAAAATGAGGGTAATAAGTACCTATCTCATCAAGCTGTTTGGGGGATAAAATGCTAGGATGTATATCCAAGGATTTGAACACAGGGTCAGGTGGCTGGTGTACCAGGAATGGTAGGTCGCCATTAATTCAAACAGTTGTCTTGAAAGGGTGGTTAGTGCGGTAAAACCCACTGATTTCATATTGTTATTTTAAGTAGAGGTAGGTCTGTTTGAACATCTGAGTGACAGCAAGAAGTCGGCTCTTATCCCATTTGGACAAAGACAAAGGAAAACGGAGCCAGCCAAGGCTTTGTGGGGTGGGTATTTGGATCTCAAACTCTCCAGGGAAAATGCCTGAGCCAAGGCAACCAGCCCAGAACTGGAGGATCTGTTGTAATACTTCTGAAAATTGAAATCCACACACATGAATGCAGGCAGAAATAGACTCTCACCCAAATAAAATCAGTTACACTGCACATTCTTTATTATGTACATTGCCAGAAGGGAGGCTCTGTGGAAATCCTGCGCCAGCACTCATCCTAGAGTTCCCTCTGTGCCTCTTTCCTCCCAAGCGATTTCCCTTCAGCCTGCTGGGCTACGAATCCACAAGACAGAAAAGCACAGGCCATTTGGTATCTGAAGAGGAAAACTCACAGAACCAAGAGCATTGTCACTCTACCTTTGAGAAGAGATTTTTCACCAGGATACGGGGTTTCCTGGGCCTCGGTGGTCACAGATGAGCCACTTCACAACACAGACAAAACCATATTTTAAAATTTCAAAATGTAAATGCAACTTGAGTCCTGAGTTGAAATGTTCTATAACTTCTAATAAACCCAGCTAGGAACCTAGATAGATGATGGTTCAGGGTTAAAATAAGCCCGGAAATGGGATATACAGGAAGGGACAAACATAAACTGGGATTAACAGAATGGTTCATCTAAGGACAGATAGGAAGAGCGGAGCTGGGAAAAGAAACTTACTTTAAGACTTCTCCAGAAGAACTGAAAGCCTCAAAGAGGAAGTGTTGCAAATGTTACCAGTCAGCTTTCCAGGCCAGTTGGAAGAATGTCAGGTTACTCAGATTCACAGGCATTTGTAAAATGGAAGGCTTTCCCTAATATTATAGACTAAGAAACTGGTCCAAAGGTGCTGACTACTTCCTCTTTCAGCATCAACAGCGTATATGGTAGAAAAAGAACAAACAGGCAAACAAAAGTTCTTACATCTATATAGATATCCTAAGTTTGACAGTGTCTACCCAAGACTGCCAGACGTGGCATGTTCAATGTTTTATGAATTCCTTATACTACTTATTAAATGGGATTAGTAAACAAGGTTATTTCACAGTGTATAATAGTTTATAGCATGAAAAGAGCAAAATATAATGGTTCTCTGAAGATTTTTTTAAGAAGTGTTTTAGTCCTTAAGCTATTCAAATGGGTACGTAAGAACTGTTGATAGAACTTGGAGAACATTTTATTTAAAAATCGAAACTATTCAATACCTGATATATGAAAATAGGCAAAAGTGAGAAAAAGCACTTTTGTGAAAAGTATTTAGCTGGTTTGAAAGGCAGACCACAGAGGAATCATTTACTCATGAAGGAGACTCTAAGAAGTAAAAAAAAAAAAAAAAATTAAGTCTTTGAAGGGTTAGGGTAATCTTTTTCATTGATCTTGACCACTTCCCTAGTTCTGACAAGTTTAGGCAAGAAAATGCCTACCACCTAGTGAAGATTGTTTTGAAATATGGTTTGTGTTTAGCAGATAAATGGACATTAGGGAATTAGGGAAATGTCCTTCTTTACGATTCCCTGAAGGTAAGGCACTGATGGCCCAGAGAAGCTGGCTATAGCACAAGATCATCACTGTCTGCAAAGCATTTATCCAGCCAGGGCTGTCAGCTTGTCCCTGGCCTGGCTGCTGATGGAGGATTAAGGGTGACTCAAAGGAAGTCAAAAGAATTTAACCTACTACCAAATGATCTAAATATACAAACTCTTAAATATTTTAAAGACTAAGAGATTATCTTATATATAAATTACCAATCTCTCTCTTTCAGTATTTACACGCTAACAATTCCTTTTTCTTTCTTTTGTGGTGCTGCAGATTAAACCCAGGACCTTGAGCATGCTCTACTAGCCCCGCGCCAAGCCCCAAAGCTAACAATTCTTTCTTCTGTTTTTATGACCTCTATGTATTCTAGGAGCCCCACATTCAACATATAGAAAAGGAAAGGGAGAGAGGATACCTAAGGTTCCCTGCTCTACTCTCTCCTTATGAGCTGAAGGCTAATTTGGTCCCCACTTTTTCCTTAGAAGGGTACAGCTCATCTCTACACTGGCCTACATGGCTCAGTGTTTTGCCCCCACTATGCCTTGCAACATATCTATGGGCAGAGGGAAGACAATTGTTGAGTTTTTCTCGGCAGCAATGGTGGTCAGTGTCTGAAGATACCGGAGCTGAAGGGCGGCAGGAGACTCTGCGATAACAATGGAGGCTTCTTTCAGAGCTCTGGATGCATTCATTTCTCCCTCAGCTGCAATAACCTATGGACAGGGGAAAGGAGAGGTCAGGCTGGAGCAAGCCACATGGCGTCATTCAGCAATCATGAAACTGGATACAAATTCCTTTTCAAGTCAGGTGCATTTCCAATGCTTTGATTTCAAAGAAAAGACTGTCACTAATCGAAAATTGATCTACTATTAAACGATATTTTGATAAAATGTTGCTGTATGATTTTTAGCACACAAATTCAAAGGGAGTGACGAGAAGTTATGATATTACTTTAAACAAAACTTCCACTTCTGTTTTTTATGTAAAATGAAGTCTTTTCTATGTCTATCAAATGGAAAATAGGAATAAAATTGATTGCTAGACTGTCTCAGTCTAGCAATAAGTAATAGCCATCCACAGTTATGATTTAATTCCTCATTTATTGCATTAAGAGAAGCATATCTAGTCAAAAATTATTTCTTATTTAGGAGAAATTCTGAAGCATTTGTAGTCCCTTGTTTGTACTCACAGGAAATTAAAAAAAATACTTCTAACATACACTAAACAGGTTGCAATGTGGTAGTAAGATAATTCATGACAAAATGTATTAGGCAAACAATCTGTGGGGGATATGGAATGGAAACATAAGTTCAAAAAGGAAGAGGTACAATGAGATATTCCTGATTGTTAAAAAGGGCTTATTCAAATATTTTTTAAATGGGTGATTAAGTATTATATTACTTAAATTTCACTGGATACATTTAAAAGAATGATGTTAACAATTTCATTTTTAACATGTCAATATTTATAGCATGCAAGAAATTGGCAAGTACATACATTCAAGACAAAAATTTCTACATGCCAATTAAAAATTGTGTGATGAGGGATGGGGGCACGGTGCAAGTAGTAGAGTGCCTGCCTGGCAAGCTCAAGGCCCTGATTTCAAACACCAGTACTGCTAAAAAAAGAACTTTGTGTTATGAAATACATAGTTTTTCAAATATATTAAGGAGTTACATAGGCATAAAATTTGCAGATCACTGGAGTGGTAGAGAAAGCAAGGCCTTTGGAGGTAGTTAAATGGACTTAAGCTCAAATTCCATATCTAACACTTCCTGGCTAAACTGTAGGAAGTTATTTTACATTCCAAACAGCAGTTCTTATTCTTAAACAGGATAGCATTTTCTTCATTGTAAGGAAAACAAAGAACATATAAAACTTCTCAATGAATAAGTAGAGACTATTATGCAGGAATGGTTTTGGATCCAATTCTGTTTTAACGTACAAAAGATTTAGAAGCTAAATCAAGGTAGCTATTTTAATTCCTAACTCTAAAAGAAAAGATATAAAGATACCATAATTCTACAACTAAAATTGCAGTTTCACCAAGATACCCTCACATGGATCTCAAAATAATTAATTGCTCATAATATTCTAGTGAATATCAGAATTGGCAGCAATGGTCTTAGGTCCAATAAGATTTCATTCACTTATTTTAGCCAATTTCTGGGTGATAATAAGACCTGTACATGTGCTGAGGATACACACATGGACAGATCATTTCACTGTAGTGTTATAAATGCTGACAGAAATATACACAAGGCTCAGTGCCAGCACACAGAGAAGGCAATTCTGTAGAGCATCAGGCGGTGAGGCTACAGAAGTTGAATATGAAAGAATGATAGGTTTGCTGGCTGGATAAGGTTAAGGAAGAACATTTTGGTAAGAAAGCATGAAACAGTATTGAGGTATAAAAAAGCTGGCATGTTTAGTGGCCGAATACTGTGTGAAGAAGATGGCAAAGGTGGTCTGAAAGGTAATGAAGGTCAAGGCAATGGTAGGCAATGGGAAGCCATGGACACCAACAGTGTTGAGTCGATAAAGAACCACATCAGATCTAGTTTGAGAAAACACCAAGAGATGTCTGAGGATAGGTGAGAAGACAGGGATACGTGAGAACTGCTCTAGAGGGGTAGGTGGACTCACTGGTGGTGGGAATAGAGAACAAATGGATCAAGGAGCTATTCAGGGGGAGAATCAACAGTATCTGGAGACTGGGTTTGGGAAAGAGAGGAAGAGGGGTTGTATTCCAAGTTTCTAGGTTTTGGTTATAGCAGTGTCATTAACCACAACAGATGATAACATATATGGAATTTGCTGAGACAAAGGACCCAGTTTACAGAATTAAACCTTCAATTTATCAAGGCAAATAATCATGTCCTACTTGATCTAAAAGAAAGGGCAAGTGCCAGACATACTCAAAGAGAATCATGTAACCGTAGTCCAAGTCAAGCACTAGAGGATGCATAAATAAGCCCTCCCCTACCACACCACGGAAACAGGCTCTGATTTTTTTCCATGTCATCTCATGTATCCAAGTAGGCACTTTTTTGTCTGGACAAGGACCAACTGCAAAGATATCTCATTTCCCACCACTGATCAATACATAATCTCTTGGCTAGGAAGGCCAGACCCACCGGGATGGGTACACATTTTGTTCGTATAAAGGCCGTTCTGAGCAAACTGCCAAAGATGTGTGAATGTAATATCACAGACTTTGTCTAGATACAGGCCACGTACACTCTGGACAGCATCTTAAAGAACAAAGCAGGCTACTTATGGGTGTGTGGAGCTTTGGCCGAATGTGTGGTCATTCCAAGTCAATCAACACGTTATATTTATAGACCATCATTTTAGTTATTTACCTTTATTTTATCCTTCTCTTGTAGTGATGGAGATTGAACCAGGACTTTGCACCTGCTAGACAAGTGCTCTACCACTGAGCTGCATCCCCAGACCCACAGAACATCCTTTTAAAATGGGGCTTTTTAGTGTGAGTGAGATTGGTACTGATTGTCCTCTCTGGAGATCATGTGGGCTGGACAGGGGGAAGCACTGGTAAGCTTAAGTAGTTTGCACTCTACCCCTCTCAATGAGTAGACTACTAGCCCAGAAAAATAAGCTGGAAAGCAAGTGCTAAACATTTTTTTGAGTTATGAAAATGAAGTAAGGGAGAATGCAAACACCAAAGATCCATATTCTGGGCCATTAAAAACAATTTGTTAAAGGAGTTTGGCTAACATACAGTAAAATGTGTAACATATAGTAAAATCTGTCCTCTTTTGAATCTGGCTTCCTCCACTTTGTGAGCAGTTATATGTTCTTTTTCTCTGCTCTACAGTATTTCTTCGTGTGAATAAACAATCTAATTTGTGACTTTTGGGGAGTTTCCAGTTTGGGGCAATTACGAAGTATTGCTGTGAACATTCCAGTACATGTCTTTCGGTTGAGTGCATTTTCTGTGAGATACATGCTTTGGAGTGGAGCTACTGGCTTACAGGGTATGCAAATGTTCAGCTTTGGTACATGCAGTCAGACTCTCTTCCAAAGTGGTTGTACCAATGTATTCTTCCACCAGCAGAATATGAGCACTTCAGCCCCTCTCTCACCCACACTTGGTTCTTTTCTTACCTCATTTTCAAGCCATTCTGGTGTATAGCTAAGCTAGCATCTACTTCTAATTTGAATTTGTATTTCCTGTGACTAATTAACTTTGAGGAATTTTTTTCTGAAGTCTCTTAGTTTGTAGGCTCTCAGACCCTCTCTTTCCATTCCTTTGCAATTAAAGAAATTATGATCCCCCTATTTTCCATGAGAACTTTTGAATGTAAGTCTATGGTTATTGTAGGATTACTGTAGTTTATAGAAGGGCTAGGCTCATTGTGTAAACCTTGAAGATAGTCAGCTACTACCCAGGTTCATAAAGACAGGTACCAGACTCACCTTAAAGCCCCATCCAAGTGAAAGCACGGACACTCAGAATTCTAACTGGCTTTTTGTTTTTTTAAGATTAATTTTTCCTCTTGTTATAATGGGAAATAGGAACTCTCTTTCCAAACCAGTGAGAGTGCTGTGGAAGAGGCTCAGCCCAGGCTCTTCCTGCCTCCTCTAATTTCCACTGTCATTAATCAACGTGGGACTCTAAAGAAATCACTTAGCTTTTCTGGTCATCCTTTCATTTGGCTAGGGTGGCAGACAAGTTTCATTTTTAGTACTAACTCCAAGCAGTTGAAGGTTGCTGCCTGCAGTGCTGTAGAAGGCTTCTGAGGCCAAGTCTAAGGTTAGAGGAAAACTGGGCTGTGGCTAATTGCTGACAAGGGAATAGGAGGGTGCAGCCTCTGAGCAAGGTACAGTCACCTTTGGAAGGTGAGCTCTGAGAATTCTTCAGCTCTGTATCCTCTGCAGTCTAGGTATGGGGAATTCTATTATTCGGTATGGTTTAAAAATGGGATTTTTAGTTAATGAGATATTCTAGTTAAATGGAATTTCTGGTTTTTGAAATAATTAGATGATAATAGGGACTATTTACTAACATTACTATAAATACAATTTAGTCTTCTAAAAGTAATTTGAAAGAAAACATTGAAGATTCTGAAGTATTGTCGGGTTATCATCATGACCATCAATTATATTAGGAAAACCTAAACATTCTGGTTAATAGAAAATTCTGGAGGCAGCAAGTCAAATTGGCTACTCCTCTATTTGGTGCTGGCTAAGAAATTATAGTGACAAATCGGTAACTGAAGGGGCATCCTAAGAGAAGGACCAGGTTCTATGATCAGCCAACTGTCACCAGTACTACTATTTATTAATGACAAATTGGTTTGATCCTTGTGCTTAGGGGATCTGTCAAGGCCACAGCAATCCATTCTATGAAAACTGCTCCTTGAGCTGATTACAGGGGTGGGACAGTGGAGCCATGTTAGTATGTGGCTCTGCCCTTGGATTGAAGTTGGACCAAAGAGAAGCTCTCGTCTGTGAATATGGTCTGCCTCCTTTGCTGCTCACTTGGGAATGCACGTGAGCTGGGCAGTAGAAGCCCTTCACCACAAACTATCTGTGGGACATGGGCTGGGGAAAGGTGCCTAGATCCTTTCAGCCTTAACTATTTTCTGGTTCCTGTGTCCAATTCTGGTGACTCTTGCCTCTGCTTCCTGTCCTTGGGTTTGGTGAGACAGCCCTGTATTTTCACATGTTATCAACTTAAAAAATACTCTTTTCTAAGTCAGCTCAACAAATACTTCCACAGTGCCTTCAAGAGGGTCAAGACATCCAATGCAGGGCTAAGCATAGGCAAAGATGACAAAACGAAAGAAGAAAAAGACTTCAGATAAAGCAAAGGAAAAAGGAGGAAGAGGAAATAGTAAGGAAGAAGATCCTGAAAAAAGGGAACAAAAGAGAAGACAAGAATACGTGAGGAATGTGTAGCTGAAACTGTCAATGTGCTCTTAAAAATGGGGCTCAAAGTTAAGAAGGAACGAGATAACGCTACAGACTGATATACTATGAGGTATTAAGTGAAAAGGGCAAGGTGCAGGACACTATGTACAGCATGACCCCTGCTTCTGCCAATAATTCAACAACCACGTCAAACAGAACCCAATGCACTCAGCTGCGGTGGCCTCTGGGGCACTAGAATTTGAGGTGATGGGGATGGCTTCTACCTTTATCAAATGCTGCAAGGTTGTTTCAGTTTTTACATTTTTATTCTTTTAATTCTTTTTTTTATTTTTTGGCAGTACTGGGGTTTGAACTCAGGGCTTTATGCTTGCTAGGCAGGCACTCTTCTGCATGAGCCATGCCTGCAGCCCTTTCTGCTCTGGTTATTTTTGAGACAGGGTCTTGCTTTTTGCCCTGGCAGGCCTGGACTATGTCCCTCCTATTAATGCTTCCTGAAGGAGCTGGATGACAGGTACATGCCACGTACCCAGCTATTGGTTGAGATGGGGTCTCAAGAACTATTTGTCTGCTGACATCGAACCATGACCCACCCAATCTCAGTCTCCCCAGGAGCCAAGAACAGTTGACTGTTGTGATTTTTTTTTTTTTAAGTGAGCATGCTTTACTTTTGGGGAATTAAAAAAGAAAACTCAATAAGAAAAACAAACAACAACAAGAAAAACCTAAACAGAATATATTACCTTGGCTCGGGCCTCCCGGGATGCTTCTGCCTCGCAGCCATAGCTCTCTGGAGCTGCACAGGGAGCTTCACATCCTTAATTTCTACACGCTCCACCTTTATTCCCCAGTCATCGGTGGCATCATCCAGAGTACACTATTAGGAGGAAAGAAAGCAAGTAAGTCACGGTCAGCTCCTGCCCAGAGGGCAACACTGACTGTTCACTGACACATGGAGCAGATAAGGCGCTGGGCGAGAGTGGCAGAGAAAGTTTCCTTCAATAGAAGGAATGATGAAGTAGGGGCTGGGTCACTGGGAAACTGATCCTGATTCTGTTACTAATAAGTAATAAGTAATGCAGCGTTGGCAAACTTCTTCTAAAAGAGCAAAGAAAAAAGTGTTTATTTGCAGTCTCTGCTGCAACTATTCTATCCTAGGTCAAAAGCAATCATGGGTAATACCTAAATGAATGGGTGTGGCTGTGTTCCAATGAAGCTTTACCTATTCTACAGGTGGTGGGCCTGGGGGCTACAGTTTGCCAACCCCTGAGCTAATGTAACCCTGTGTAAGCCATATTAATTCTTAGTGTTTCATTTTCCATCTTTTAGAAGGGCAGGAACGAAGCCATACTGTATGTCATGAGGTTGTGGTGGTATCAAATAAGATCACAGTCAAGTCTATACAAATGGTAGGAATTCAGATTCACAGCATTTTATCTTTTTTGAACGAGTCAGGTTTAACTCAACAACTACCTTTTAGGCAAGACTGGAAAGTATAACAGTTACAAGGAATTTGTGGGACTTACCCACAGAAGCAAGCTTTAACAGTACAAGTAAAGTCTTGGAGAACAACCTCTGAACTACACCAAAAGATGAATACTGAATCTAGGGAAAAAGAACACAATGCAAGAAGTGAAAATAACATGCATCCGAGTGTTATGAACTCAGGACTGTTAGTGTGAAAAGTGTCTCTGTCCATCAAGTCTTGAAAACTTTACTGAGAAGAGAAAAAGGCTAGTGGTCCCCCAACTTGAGCTAATAAAAGGTTCTCAAACAACTGCAGACTCTTTGCTTCAGTCTTCTGGGTAGCAGTGCTGGTGCATTCCTCACCTGCATGTTGTGTGCAATTTCTTCTCTGTCAGAGAGGATCTGAGAAAGGTTCTTGGTGCCCAGAACATTCCTGAGAGTAGTCTGTGCCAAAAGACGGGTGGCAGAGTCTGCATTGGTGATATTTGCCACAGCCAGGGTTGCATTCTGAACGCGGTAATAGACTACACCATCCACACTGATTGTCACTGAATCCTTAGTGAGGATCTACAAGAGGAAGGAAGCAATCCTGTATTTGCCAATCATTCCTTTAATATGACTTTAAGGAATATTATTCTCTACAACACCTTAAAGCAGTAGCATATTTCTTTAATAATGCATCAGAAAATTAATTATATCTTAAAAAATTTAATAAAACACATTCAAGTATCCATTAAGTCAATGAACTTATTTTTAATCACTTAACAAATTTTTGGATGCCACCCAACAGAAGGCATTGTACTGAAAACAAATGTATGAAAAAAGTCAATCCCCACTTTTCAGAAGGTTGGGGATCAAGGGAGGCTTTAAGGAACACACAGTAGATAGCTGTGGGTGGCAGGGGTAAAGCCTGAGGAATCCTGAAGAAAGAAGTAAAAACATTCTTTGGGTGGAGGGTGGACTGGAGAGTACTCAGGCAGAGAGAATACTGTGTGAAAAGGCACAGAGGTAAAAGAGCCAAGGTCTGACAACTACCTACATGTAGCCCAGTGTTACTGGAACACAAAGTACATGGGCAATGTTTCTACAGGGCAAATTCAAGGTAAAAATATATTGGATAGCAGGCTACATAAAATGCTTAATGTGACATAATTTTGTTCTGACTTAGAAGTTCCATGAGTGAGTAGCACCAGGAAAATAGCAATACAAATTAACTCAAATTAACTTCTGGGACTCAGTTACCTCATTTGTAAAGTGGAGATTAGTGCCTACTTCAAAAGCTTATTGTTAGAATTAATGAGTTAATTCATTTAAGTGCTGAGAATAGTGCCTAACACAAAAGAGCTATCTTTATTATTTTTCCTCTTAGATAATGGCGTTAACTTATTAAATAAAACACTAACCTTGTTAATTTATTTTAGACAATAAGAGAAAGCCTTTCACTTCATTTCTAATTCAACCCTTAGATATACACACTCAGTGCCTGACTTAAGATGGTCTGACTTAACAATCATTCAACTTTATGATGATGTGATACTGATACTCATTCAATAGAAACCACTTCCAATTTTGAATTCTGACCTTTTCTCAGACTAACAACATGCAGAATATTCTCTTGTGAATCTGGGCAATGACAATGAGCTGTAGCTCCCATCAACCCTGAGATCACCAGGGGACACAAATGACACTTCATAGTGTGTATGTTGCTAAACCATGATGTTCAAAATACATTTTGACTTATGATATTGTTGATTTACAGTGTGTTTATTAGGACATCACCCCATTGGAAGTCAAGAAGCATCTGTACTTATGCAACACTGATCTTTTAAAACTTCAGTCCTAAGTCAGTAATCCCTGGCTAAATTTCTCAATGGCTTCCTACCACCTTCAAGACAAGAGTCCTTTGACTGCATGCCCTGTAATATCTCTTGCCTCACACCCATCCCCCCACCCCATGCCTCCTGCATATCATACCTCTGTGCCAGGCCACAGGTGGGTTCCTGTGTACATGGTGTTCTTGTCCCCAGTACTGCCCCTGCTTGGATGTCCTCTTCTTCCTTTCCCTTATAGATGACACTGGCTCATTTCTATGTACCATTCAAGTAATATTTTTTCTTTATAACCTCTCTGTATTACTTGGCATAGTTAAGCACTCCTCTATCATAAATCCACTACCCTTGCTATAATGACATTATTTATTGACATTCACTTCTCTGTTAGGACTATCAATTTTGTGTGTGTGTGGTACTAGGGATTGAACCCAGGGCCTTACACATGCTAGGCAAGCACTCTACCACTTGAGGTATGCACCCAGTACTTTTGTTTTTGAGATAGGGCCTTGCTAACTGTCCAGGCTGGCCTCGAACTTGAGATCCTCCTGCCTCTGCTTACTGAGTAGTTGGGATTACAGATGTGTACCATCATGCCTGGGTAGACTATAATATTTCTTAGGGGAAATTCTTTGAATCTCCAGCCCCCTTGGAGAGTGCTTGATATGTCAGTTGGTGAATTAGGAAGATAGGAACTGAACGGAGATGTGGTCCTAGGAAATAAGTGATGAAGAGTGTAGGAGTGAAGTCAGAGACCTGAACTGTGGTTCCAGCTCTTCTTGTGCTATCCTCCCCACAAACCACAACCCTGTGCACTCTAGCAGGGTTTTACACCTTTTGAGATGGCCATCCCTCATTTTTGAGATGGAATTAACAATACTGCCCAATTCTACCCAAATTTCTGTGAAGATCAAGGAAGAAGACTGTGAAAGAAGCCCTTTTGAAAGTGTAGCAAGCTATGTAAATAGAGGGTAATAACAACTGTTGCTATGTACTGTTTGGCAGCCATCCTGTCCCCTCCTCTCTTTGGTAATCTAAAAATACCTCTAACTTGGAAAGGCAGAGGGGTATTTGTAAATAAGTATACATTATACTACCATCATATGTGAAAATTAATTCTCCATGAGCGATGGAAAAATAAATGTTACTCCTAAACAGATTTTTGCCACTGTGACTCTGCCACAGCAGCTTTCAAAGCTGCAGTTTCTCTGCTGACTGTTTATTGTAGGCAGAGTGTTTATTTCCCTTCACAGTAAGTTCACAGGGGATTGGAAAAAGGACTGCTTGCCAAGTCCAATCAGCTTTGCATTCAGCAGCTTGCAAGGCGGAGAGCAGCTGGAAGGCAGAAGCTCACAGCAACCTTGCCAGATGCCTGCAATGTTTACAAAGGAAAATGTCAGAATTCCCAGAAATCCTGAAAGGAGCTCCTTCTGAGAGTTGCTTTTCCCTAAAATATGGGAAAACATGCAGAGAATACAGCGATGCCCTCAGGACTGTGCTTGTGAGTGAGAGGTAGGTACAAATGATTTCTGGCATGCACCAAGTTTGTGTGGGCCAAAAAGTCTGACCTTATCAACTACAGAAAGGGAGTTCCTAAAGTGGTTTCTGGATTTTGTGATAAGAGAAGGCAACAAAACATGGTTGTGCTCTACTATCATGCTGAATTCCACAGGCCAGGAAACACAGACAGTTCTCTTCCATTCCCTCCCACCCACCCACTTTCCTGCTGGTAGGTTTCCTGTCTCCCGTGGGTACCAGCATGGCCATCACTTCTTCAAGGACCATGACAGAGGATGTAGAATGCAGTTAGCACTGAACTTAGGTAAAAGCACTGGACATGAAATCCAAAGAGCTGGATATTAGTCCTGGCTTTGCCACTGTAGTCTGATGAAGTCTTTGTCTCATTACAACTATAGTCTTCTAGAGATTCTGCTGTATCAACTGTAACAATATTTGTGATGTTCTTTGAAAAAGTGAAAAATGTTTACTAAAATGCCAAATGGGCAGCCTCTAATTCTTTGGTTCCTAACCAATTTTTCTAGGATAAAATCAAGAACCTTAAAAAGAAAGAATATTAGACTAAATAGAATTTTCTATCAGAAACTCCTAGCAGAGGACTGTGATAGTAAAACGATGATGCCAACAATAACAATGCTAACTCTATACTTCCCTTAGCATTCCACTGTGTTTTGTGACAACCACTTGCACGCCTGACCCTGCAGTGCAAAGAAAGTGACCCTGCAGTGGAAAGAACAGCTCACCTCCTGAGGAGGAATGTCAAACGAGATGGTCCTCATATCCACCTTGATGAAGCTATCAGTGCATGGCAGAATAAAAAACAAACCTGCAACAAAGACACATATAGGATCAGAGCGACTGGCACTGAACTAGCTCACTTCTCTTCCATTTTAATGGAATCCACCTAATCAACCCAAGTCACCAATTCATCTTAATAAGCCAGAAGCTCAAAATGCTGTCTTTAAAATCTCCTTGTCCACTAACCACCTCTATTTGTCCCCATAAGGCCCATGGAACCATTTCATTACTCCACTGTTACTGTTACTTTTTCCTTCACTTGACCAATACAATCACTTCCCAAGTCATCTTCTGGTTTCTTGTAGTTTCTCCTCTATGACCCATTTCCTGAGCTGTAAGCAGAGTGACCTTCCCTAAGATACCAACCCTGCCCCATGATAATCCTGCATGACCCACCTCGGCTCACCTCTTCAGCTGCTTCCCGTCTCTGCATTCCTTGCACTCTCACCAGATTTAGCTTAGCTCCTGCAGTTCTTTGAATCTGCAACACTGACTCCGCACATTGCTTTGTACACATTGCTATTTCTGCTAGGAACCCCTTTTTGTGGCTAAAGAGGCGTTAGCCATAATACTCAGTCAGAATGTGACACCCAGAAAGTTTTGTCTTATCTACTACTAGTTTAGGTCAGTCACTGTCCTCCAGGTTTCTCTTTTCTCATGGCTCTGTGGTTACTTTATTATACTTATCCCATGAGATGTGGCTATCTGTTTCCTAGTTGGTGTCCCACCTCCAGATCATAAGATCCTTGAGGGGAGGGTCCATGTTTTAATCTCCCTTGAACTCCTAGAGCCTGGAACACAGTAGGAATTCAGTCAAAGTTTGCCAAGTGAATATCTAAGGCCTTTCCTTAGTAAAGATTCTCATGCACAGACTTCCATAGCTGTAGCTATTCCTGGCCAAAGATAATCCTACTGGCTCAAAGAGGAAGGGGAAGGGAAGTCTGGGAAGGAAAGGTGGGCAATAATAAGAGGGGTTAGAGCCACTGCTCTTGTTAAACAGCTTCTGCTTCATGAACTCTTTTCCAAGTTAACAGAGAAGGGGTCCTCATAAAGGAAATCACATCAGTCAAAAGTACTTCTGTCTCAAGCTGTGTTCGTGGTGGTGCAGGTCTGTAATCCTAGCACTTGGGAGGCTGAGCCAGAAGAATCAAAATTCTGAAGTCAGCCTGGGGTACATAGTGAGACCCTGTCTGAAAAACAAACAAACACTCCCTGTATAGCTATCCTTATCTAAAAAAAAAAAAAAGTACTTCTGTCTTCAGAAAAGTCACCCAGAATCCTAATACTGACCAGGTCCTTTGGCTCCTCCTTGTAAAATGCGACCCAATCTAAAGATGATAGCTCTTTCATACTCTTTTATAATCTAGAATAAAAACACAAATGATAATTTAGCATGAGAAGCACAAACATTTACATGCATAGCTTCTTAACTATATATTTCTGCTCTGAACAGGTCAGATACCTCCTATTTTTCCTCGACATCTAGATGTCTATAAACATGTCTTATGTTTACCTTTTCCAAGCATAATATTTTTGTATTTTTATTGATTATAAAAGCAATACATACTTTGTATAAATTTGCAAACAGTATCAAATCCATAACCTCATTCCTCAGCTGTTTACATTAATATTCAATTGTTCATGTATTGTTTATTCAGAAAAATTTTATGGTTTTTCTTCTGATTCCTTTTACTATAATAAATTTATCTAAAAATATCTGGAGCATATTTTATCTTTTTTAGGACTATGTATTAATAACTGTGTAGGAAAAAATAACCTTTCTTCTTACTATGTGTTTCCTTACTGTGCTCAATGAGTACATTTAGGCACATAATTCATTTAATCCTCACAACAGTCCTGTGAAGAGGGTGTTGTTATTTTCTCCCATTTTACAAGTGAGGAAACATGGCAAAGGTCACATAGTAACAACGGAGCCAGCAGCTGAACCTTGCTATCCTAACTCTGGAGAACTTGTTCTCACAGGACCATCTCACATCCAGAAAATATCTGACAGTGATTCTTACTTTAAGCAACAGGGAATGACTGATTGAATTATGACTGGAAGAAAGCTTTAAAATTCTATTGTAATTGATGAGCAGAATGAATTTTCTATAAGAGAGATGAAGGAAAAAGAGTTACAGCCAGTATGGTCTCTGTCTCTTACACATATAAAGTAGGTTTAGTAGGCAGGAGTCAACTCCTTCCCAGATGTGAAGAAAAGTTCTTTACCTTTATGCACATCCATATTGATATTGGGAAAGTTATAAGTGTGAATAAGAATGAGGCAGCCACCAAAATCCATCCACAAGGTCCAAGGCCTGCACTGGGGCTATCTGTTGAAACAAAACCATGAAGCTCTTATCACTGTTATTAGCACAGCCACTGCCATCTCCATCCCTACTAGCCATTAATACCTTTGTGTTTAGCATTGCGCTGACTGCTTTACATGTTTTCATCTAATCCCCGACAGCCCAGAGTGCAGGTACTATTTTCCCTAGACTATCTAACACAAGTATTTCCCTACATTACTCATTATTCTATCCAGTGAACAGTTATTAAGCATCTATTTCTTTTGTCCTGTGCTTTTCATTGAAGTGACAAAAACGAACAAGACCCAATCCCAGCTTTTGAAAAGGTTCAAGTAGACTGGGGAAGAAAGATAAATGTAATGCTAGATGGTAAGTAGAAATACAGAACATCTGTTCAGAACATTTTTTTGAAAACACAGACTAAGGTAACACATAGTTGGGTGGAGGAGAGGGGAGTGAGATAGGGATGGGAGTTGTCAGAGGGCTTCTTAAAGGACATAACAATAAGGAAAATACCAATAAAAAGGAAGGGGAAAAAAGGAAGGGGAAGAAAGGAAAGGGGCATTTTTGGCTTGAGGGGATAGCATTATTCAAGGTGAAAAATCACATGACATATGAACATGAATATCATGTCATTGAGAGCCTCATTTAAAAACATGCCTATAAAATATTTTACTGGGTTTATAAATCATAATTTATTAACCATTTCCTATCTATGTTCTATTAAAAACAATGCTGTAAGTCAGGTATGGTGGTACATTACTTATAATCCTAGCTATTGGGTGGTGGAGACAGGAGGATCACAAGTTCAAGGCCTGCCTGGGCAAAGTTAGGGAGATCCTATCTCAAAAATCAAACAAACAAGTTAAAACAAAGAGCTGGAAGCATAGCTCAAGTGGTAGAGTGCAGGAGGCCCTGGATCCAATCCCCAGTGCTAGCAAAAAAAAAAAAAAAAAAAAACCAAAAACCAAAAAATAAAAATGCTGTAACGAACAATTTTGTATATAGTCTTCCTTCCACATTTTGAACTGGTTCCCTTTTCTACATATGAAATAGTGTTTCTGTCTGATTACAGAGGAAGTATCACGCCCAACAGCAAAAAAATTTAGAAAATTCAAACATGGAAGGAAGTTTTCTGAATTCAGAGACAATAAACATTTTAGTACATACACTCTTACACAAACTTTTTCTTTGCACATACAACTATATTTTAAAACTCAACATTTGTAATGTATTTTCTCCCCTTTAGCTGTTATTCTTTTACCTCCCTCATTAGCCTTGATAGATGTGTATTTGTACTTCTCCTGGTTTTCCTTTAATTTTTTTAATCTAAGTTATACTTGCATAAAGTTTGAAAAACAATTCTGTAAGACTAGTGCAATAAAGGGCACCTCTTCTTGTTTTCTCCTCCTCAAAAGCAAAGTGCTTTTTTTGGCCGAGTATCTTGGTGTTTGCCTCCATGCAGTGGGTCTGGTACTCCTTACTCTTTTGGTTTTGAGTGGTACCAATTGACTTTCCACTGTGGAAGAGGATTTAATGTTTTTTTCTTCTTTTTCCACCTACCCATCCATCCTTCCAGTATAACTACATCATAATTTTGGTTAGACCAAAATTATGCTACCATGAACAAAATCTTATGTTACCATGAACATTCTAATGGCATTCTATTCAAAACCAAGCCATGTAGTAAAACAGAATTCATTTTCCTGTTCTGTACAACTTTTTTCTCTTTTTCTGTTTTGTTGTTTCCCTTTAATTAGTCTTCAAAACACTTATTGATCCAACCTCAAACCCTTCAGCAATGGTCTAAATCTCCTTTAAAATTTGTGAGGTATTCTATCAATTTCTTCTTTGGACTTCTTGTCATCCAGCTTGCATTCTCTGATTGCCTTTTACATCATCCTGGGAATCCCCCATCACGGCCTGGGTTTTTGTTGTCTTAACAAAAACCACTTTTAGTTCACTTTTCCTTTTGTGGAAGATACAGAGTCTAAGAAGGCTCGATTGGTGTACTCCTCAACCACAGGCTTCTGCCATAGTTTTAGGAGCTGTTTTAATGATGGGAGTTTGACAAGAAGGGAACAGGTATTCCAGATGTGTGTTAATGCTTAAAAGAAAAGGCCAAAAGGCAGTAAGACAGGCTTTGAATAGATAGGAGGCCCAGAAATAAGTAGAGGTTCAAGCTAGGAGCATAGGAGAAAAGAGAAGACACATGTCAACATCCAAGCCAAGAGGAACTTTGAAACACATGACGAAAAACCAGAAATACAGCGAGTACCTTGGTTACTATATTTGACTTTAAAATTTTCTGATACTGTGTCATAGTGGAAGGTAAATGTTCTGATGCATACTTAAATAAAAGTGACCTAAGTTAATCCTGGAGGTTTTGAAATTATAACTTTTGGGGTACAGACATATTCACTGACAGACTATTCAAAGCACAAGTGGTACTTGTGGAGAAAGCTCCATTAGGTATTGTCACAACAGTGGCTGCTTTTTGTGGTTTTCTATAAACCAGGCATTGTGTAAAGGTACTTTAGAAATGTGTATCATTTAACTCTTACAACAGCCCTGTGAGGCTAAGTAGTTTTTGTTTGTTTTTGAGACAAGGTCTTGCTATATAGTCCAAACGGACAACAAACTAACTATATAGCCAAGGCTGGCCAGGAACTGTGATCTCCCTGCCTCAGTCTTCCCAAGTATTGGGATTACAGATATGTGCCACCAAGCCCAGTGAGGCTAAGAATTTTTTAGCTCCAATTTTAAGAATGAGGTAATCAAAGCAATGTAACTTTTCCAAGGTCACACAATGGGGGAATTGCTACTATACTGGGATTCAAATACAGGTCACTCACTCCAAATCTCAGTCTCTTCGACCCTTCATGTTTGAAGCACTTTCTTAAGACAGCATCCAAACTGGCAAAGCACACAGGCAGAAGATTTGAGAATGAAATCTGGTATTTTTACAGAAGAAGGAAACTCACTTAATTCTATGCATATTTATAGCAAAAGACAGTTTCAAGGCTCTGTGCCAGGCTTAGGTCTACATTTTGAGTACAACAGATTCCAAACAAGGAACAGACTGTTTCCAAATACTTACCTGCCAGTACTTGGTGCTTTCCAAAATATTGCCTTGTACTCCCATGTTTCAGGCAAGGTGCATAGCTCTGTGTCCCAAACATACCATACTATAACCTCCTCGAGGGGGTGATAAACAAGAAAACGTGCACACTTCATCATATATTTTTTTCTTTTTTGTGATGTTGGAAATCGAACCCAGGGTCCTCACACATGGTAGACAAGCACTCTACCAATGAGTGCTTGTCTAACCCCTTACTAGTTTTTATATTCTCAATGTGCACAGTACCCTGCACAGATAGAACGGGCATATGGGGCTTAGTTTCTTCACCTGAAAAAATATGGGTTATTAGACTGGCCTTACAGGAATTGAGATAGTGCTTAGTAAATACAGATGACAGCATTCTGTAATCCTTTTATTTTACTCAAACATTCAAATCTCCATGATAAAAAAGGGAAGATGGCTTAATTTCTCCCTGGCTTGATGTCACTCCCAGCCAGCCTAGGCTTGGAAATTCGAAAATCCTTAGGAAGTGCGTTTACAAAGAAATCCACACAAGGGCAAGTCAGAAAGCTCAGCTAAGATGCTTCTGGATTCACTTCCCATCATCAGACTGTGTCTCTTTTCAAACCCCAGGAAAGTATACAGGAACAAGGAAGTCAAGTGGATATTTTGAAACCTGGGCTTAGACTATCACATATCAAATGCTCATCTGGAAATAATCGGTGTATACACACTAGGGAAATGGCACATTCATATTTTCTTAACTCTCAAAATTCTTCCCCATCTGCTCACAGCTCAAAAAGGTACATAAAATACACTCCTCAGACAGGAGAAGTTTAGAGTCCTCCAGGCTTAAAAATGAACCTTCAGTCATCTACCACTTCTGGGAAAAAGAGGAAAAGCAATTGATGAAATCCATTTATTTCAAGTTTCCCACTATTAGGTTAGGATCAAATCCTCCTATCAGGTTTATGGGGTAAATGACAAGTAATGGGTAGTCAGAATTCCTGAGATATTTAGGTTGACATACTTGTCAATACTTTGCTGGGTGGGAAAACTCATAAAGATTAAGGATGTTCTGGTATTTGGCTGTAAATACTACTTTGTCAGGTATTAGTGAATTCTCTTCTTTTACTACCAAACTCCTTCCTGAAAACTGCATTAGGATAAATTTTTAACTAATCAAAGCCAAGCTCTGGAAATGGATATGAGCCTATATATTTAAATTTTTGTACTTAACATTTAATTTGACCTTACCTTCAGGACACTCAATTTTTTTATTGTTTCTTTCTATAAAGAGCAGAATCATCAGTATAATAATTAGTTATAGCTCAACAAGTAGGAAAAGTATCCATATTTTCATTATTTCTAGGCCATTATCGTTTGCCTTACTATACATCCTTTAAGCCTTTTGTGTCCTATTTTTTTCAAAAGTGAAATAATGGCACACAAAATTATTTAAGATCTCTCCCTTCCATATTGTGAACATCTTTTCATATCAGTAAATACTCTTCATCATTATTAATGGTTTCATAATAGTCTGTTGCTTCATATAATGAACACTTAGATTGTGTACAAATTTTTCCATTTGAAACTTTGGTATGAGCTGAGCATGCTTGTGCATGCCTGTAATTCCAGCACTTGGGAGGCTGAGGCAGGAGGATCCTGAGTTCAAGACCAGCTTGGGTTATATAGTGAAACTCTGCCTCAAAAAAAAAAAAAAAGAAAAGAAAAAGAAATTAAATGAAATTCCACTGCATTGAATATACCTTTAGCAAAGTTTCTGTGATCCTTATGTACTTATATAGTACGTAAGTTAATTTTGCCGAAAGATGAAATTATGCAAATTTTAAATTTCTCTCATTCTGTTATCTCTTATTACTACTACTACCATTTATTGGTCATCTAATCATGTTAGCTCCTTACATAAACTATGTCTGAT